CATCCCAGCTCCATTTACCTTTTCATTCATGCATGCAGTTTATTCAGCAAAATTTATTGAACATATTCTACGTGGCAAAAACTCTTCTAGACACTAAGGATAAGTCTGTGAAGAAAACACTCTGCTCTGATGGAGCTTACAGGGAATGAACCATCATTGGTCTAAACCATAGTCATACTGTCTTTGGCCATGATCTGTTTAGTGGCCACATTTTGACCAATATGATGTAAGAGGAGGTTAACATGAAGAGATAGTGTTAAATAGCAATTTAAATAATTCTGAGAATGCATAATTTTAGGGTAATATTCAAACCCAAAGAAAGATGAAAATTACAGGTTTCTAAGAAAGGGACAGTCTTCTCAGGTGGCTCAGTGGTAAAGAATCCACCTGCCAGCAGATGCTGGATACACAGGTTGGATTCCTGTTTCGGGCAAGTCCCCTGGAGGAGGAAATGGCAACCCACTCTAGTATTCTTGCCAGGATAATCCACGGACAGAGGCGTCTGGAGGGCTACAGTCCATGGGGTCACAAAGAGTCAGACGTGACTGAGCACGCATGCACATATGAAAGGGAGAGATTTGACCTGAACAGGCCTTGATCTCTTTATTTTTTTTCTTCCTCTATCCTGGAAGGTGGACATGATGTCTGTAGGGACACAGCTGCCCCGTGCCTATGAAGTGGTGAGCATGCTAAGGAGACAGGACAGGAAGACAGAAAGTACCTAGGTCCCTGCCGCTCAGCTGCTCTGGCCTTGTACCACGTGCGCTTAAGCCTCCAAAATTATTCTTAGTCAAAACAAAACATGGAAACCAAATGAGAAACAAAAAAATTCCTACCTTAATTCTTTACCAAACTCATTGTCCATTTTCAATTACTTGTAGCTGAACATACTTTGAACTGAAAACAGTATCAACTGGCAATTTCTTGAGAATACTGTAACTGACTAATGAGATAGGAAAAGATGATTCAGCTTAACAGAAACTGGCAACTGCAGATTAATAAACCATTTCTCCTGATTCCAGTTGGAGTCTCACTGATGATGTTGGGAAACTGACAATCTCTTATATTGCTGGTAAGAAAATAAATTAGTACAGCCTGTTTGAAAGACAATTGGCATCATCTAACAAAATACAAAATATATGTGTGCTAAGTTGCTTAGTCATGTCCGACTCTTTTCAACCCCACTGATCAAACCCAGAGATCAAACCCGTGTCTCTTGTGTAGCCTGCATTGGCTGGCAGGTTCTTTACCACTAGTGCCATCTGGGGAGTACCTAAAATGTATACCCCTTATCTACTAACATCACTCCTAGGAATTACTAGCAATCTGAAAGAAATGTTTGTTTAAATGCAAAAAGATATCACATGTGCTTGATTCTGCAGTTTTGGTTATAACAAGTAGGTGAAAGCAAGTTAAATATCAATAAATAGTAAGGAAATGGCTAAATTAAGGAGTAGTCCCACCATGGAATACCATGCAGCCACAAAAAGGGTTAGGACCATTATGTAGACTACAAATTTATTTGTAAAAACATTTCAACATTTTGCCATGTTCGTTTCAGATTTTTTAAAAAGAAATTAGACTTTATAAAGTAAAAAAACCCTGTGTACCCCAGTGGACCTTATTTTGTTCCTCCTACTGCAGAAGGAACTTACTGTTTATCATTCTCCTTCATGTTTTCAGAGTTACAAGGCACTGTTATCATTCTTCAACTTGCTTTTTTACTCAACAACTTTTAAAAGATTTATTCATATTGACATATGTAACTATAGTTCATTCTAACTGCTGTGATATATCCTTTTAGATGAATATATCACAATTTATCTACTCACTGCTTGGTGGACCTTTAGGTAATTTCTAGTTTTTCATCATTACAAGCAATGCTAGAATGAACAGTCTTAGGTCTCCTTGTGCCCACAGGATTGATTTCCCAAGGGAATATTCTCAGAAGTAACATTGCTGGGTCTTAAGATATGTGCATCTTTCTTAGATACAGGCCCACAATGCATTGCTCAATGCCTTACGGTCAGATATGTTTCAGGATTAAGAATTTTTTGGATTTTAGAAAGGCAATATAGTATATATGCTATACATAACACTCTCAGTAGGGTTTGGGAACATATTCTATAACAAATGTATTATTTCTTCTGTGGTGAAAAATATAAATATTCACATTAAGTGAGACAAATAAGATGACAAAAAGCTTCACATCAGCTCAGGTTTTGCCACCAAATGAGTTAGGAAAGAGAGTTCAGTTTTCAGAGCTCTTTGGATTTCTGAGTTGTGGATGAGGGGTTTGGATCTGCATCATCAAACTACTTTCTAAAGTAGTTGTATTAATTTATCTTCCTACAAATGTTTCTCCATATCCTTACCAATATTAGGTAATATCAGACTTCAGGAGTTTTTCTAGTTTTATAGGTGTTTACATATTACTTCTGTAATTAAAAGCTGAAGAAAATATAGAACATGGAAGGAGAGATCTCATTTATAACAATAATGACAACATAAAACATCTATGGTTGTAGTGAATAAGAAATGCAAAGAATCTAAATGAAGAAAATGTTAAAAACTGTCAGAGGAATATACATGTGGTGAGTAAATAAACATTTTCATCATTGCATAGACAGGCTTTATGTTATAAAGGTATCGTTTACCTGTAAATTATTTTATAATTCAGTGCAATTCCAGTCAAAATCACAGTATACCTTTAAACATTTTTTTAAAGATTAAAACTACTCTGGGAGAATACAACATTTTAAAGCAACTATACCTCAATTAAAAAAAAAAAAAACTACTTGGGAAGAATAAGTTCCCAAAATATTGAAGACCATTTTGAAAAAAGGAAACCACAATGTAGGTTGCATGCACACATGCATGCTCAGTAGCTTTAGTCCATGTCCGACTCTTTGTGACCCCATGGACTGTAGCCTGCCAGGCTTTTCTGCCTATGGAATTCTCCAGGCAAGAATACTGGAGTGGGTTGCCATTTCCTACTCCACAATGTAGGTTAGATATTAAAACAAATTACAAAGACAATGGTAACTAAAACAATGTGGTAGTGGCTCAGAAACAGAATGATCATGGAACATTGTAGAAAGTCCAGAAATAGACCCAAGAATAAATGGGAATTTTATATATGATAAAAAATAACATTTAAAAAGAAATCAGTGATGTTGGGAGACAACTGGTGAGCCATTTGGAAAAAGAGAAAAAGCTGGGTCTCTGCCATATTCTTCACCTCTAAGTGAAATTCAAACTGATAAATGGCTGCTATATTAAACACAAATATCAGAAGAAAACATGGGTCAATGTTTTTACAGTTTTGAAGAGGGGAAAATCTAAGTATGATGTGAAATCTAAACATCATAAATGAAAATTCTGATAAATTAACGTTCCAAAAATGAAAAAACTTTCTATATGACAAAAAAGCACCATGCAGTGAATATTGTGGCCTGTCTCCTCAATATTCCACCCACCTCTTCCCCATTGCACAGATGTCTTGCGGTTTGCTTCGTGGTGAGTGTTAATATCTCTTTACTCTAAATTCTAGTGGTAAGAACTGATTGGTTTAACCTACCAAGGTAACCCTGTTGCCTTTGCCACCATGATTGGTACAAGTCACTCTGGGCCTAAGCAGTAAACTCATGAATTGGTCCTGATCAGAAAGAATGACGTGTAATTAAATTTAGGTCTCCAAATAGGGGAGGCATCTGGGACAGAAGGTTCCTCACTCATCTCGGAGGGCCCATGGAAGTCAGTTTCCACACAGTGTGGTGTGGTGACCTGAAACCTGGAAAAATGACAGTCAACCACCAGAAGGAAAGTGAAATTTAGGATGGCCTTGCTATTTGAAAAGATAGGAGAGAAGAGGAAAGAACCTTGGTTTTTTTCAGCCATTGAAACAAAGCAACCTTGAACTAACTTTGGACTTTCAATCAATAGATCTCCTCTTCTGAGTTGGTTTTTTTTTACTTGTAGAATGAAGAGTTCTAAAAGATATGAACTGTGAACAAATTCAGAAGAAAAGCTGGGGAAAGTATTTGCTATGCAAAAGACAAATAATTGAAATCCCATATAGACAAAGAGTTACAAATCATATGAACAAGGAAACAACCTATTTTTTTAAAGGCACAATAAATGGATGGCTACTTAATACAAGAGGAAATACAATGAGCAATAAACAATATAAGTGATGCTTAGGCTCACTATAAGGAAGTATAAATAAAACAAAAGGAAATGATTTTTTACTTTTGCAAAAAATGAATCAAGAATATTGAAATTCCTTAGGGCTGAGAATACAAGCAAACTCATACAGTATTGGAGACAGTATAAGTTGGTGATTTGCTAGAAAGTAAGACACACTTTTATTAATATTTATGGTATTTATAGCCTTTAACCAATCAATTTCACTCCTGAAACTGTATGCTGCAGAAATACCTAAACAAGGCAAAGATGTATACAGATGTCTTGATATACTGTGAAATGCCTGTGAAATACTGGAGACATCCCAAATATCCATCAACTGGGAATTGGTTAAATAAACTCAAGGTATATCTGTGCACTAGAAATAATTATGAGCTTCACAAAGGATGAAGATATCCTATATGTTGCCACAAAAATGTTTAAGATACACTGTGTAGAAAAAAAACCTGTAGTTTAATACACCATAACTTTTTTGTGAAAAAAGTCAGTATATATGTAGTAAAATGAACATCACCATCCTGTGAGCAGTGATTAAATGTGGGGAATGGCCTTCGGGCCCAGTGGGGAAACCACCAGTAGTACTGTCGGATCTGTGTGCACATGTGCACAGGCATGTATGAACACATTCACCATCACTGCCAGGACCACATCCTGCCCATCAGGAATTAAAATGCTACTTTGATTTCTCACCTTATTCAATCTGTTTTCAACCTGTTCCTTATTCCGTGGCATACCAAGAGTGGAATGGAACATATCTGCAGAGAATTTTACACAGTAATAAACCTGGCTAAACGTTGGTTTGCTTTTTATTATCACCATATGCTTTCTCAAGAATGTCAGTGACAGAGACTTCCTCTTAGCAAGGAGAGCTGCTCTCACAGTCCCCTCTCTTGGTAGCGAATCACTAGTGTGACTTCATGTGGCCACGAGAGCCCATATGCCGTCTGCTGGCTGAGGTACTGCGGGGGCCTCAGACAGGCCTGTGATGTCCTTCCGGCCTTCGAAGAGCAGAGGCGTCAGCCAAGATCACCGCCACTAGGAACCACCAGCCTCTGAGGGGCTCAGCTTCCTGCTTGCATGACCTACCACTACCACGGCAGTCTCTCTGCCAGCCGGCCTTCATGCGTCTTACCCTCACCTCCAGCCTGGATGTCCTCAAGCTGCCCTGCGCTCGAACCTTACTGTTTCTCCTCATCCTGGAAAAAAAGAGACTCTGACCCTTTGGTCTTGCTTTCTCCCATGCCCATTTTTACCTCCCAGATCACTTCTTAACCCTACACTTGGCTCCCGAGTGGTACCTCAAAATGTCTTTCCTAAAACTTTGGAAACACATTTGGGGGTTGGAAGGAGTGAAAAGGTAGCTCCAAGCTGGTTCTCTGAAAAGCTGGCCAGACGTAAGCCCCCTTTCCTGTGCCCAGGGAAGTGCCATTTCCCCAGCAGGCTTCTCTGGAAAAGAGGTTCACTGCAGAGGGCAGGGCATTACTCCATCAGCTTTAAAAATAAGCACTCTACGGAATAGAAAGAAAGAAAAGCCATCCGCCCAGCTTAACCTGAGCCTTGTAACAGAGAGGGGAGTGTGTGGGGAGAACAAGAGGGAGACGCAATTAATTACCCTTAGAAGCAAAGGTAAAAGTTGAAGATTACGAGACCCATTTACAGGAGGGAATAGACCCATCATTGAGCCTAGAGAATGGAAGGATTGTTTAGGGCCAGAAAAGCGTCTCAATGTTCAGATTTCATTCCTTTTCTGGAGCTTTGGAGAGAGGAAGGTCACAGCTTGGGCTTGGAAGGTACACTTAGCAGTGGGTTCAGACTGGGAGGGGGGCTGTTGTCTTGGGTTGGGTTCTGGGCCCACAGACTGCCCCCTCCCTGAGGGAATAGGAGCTGGGATCCTCCCCAGGAGCTGAGGTGGGCTGGTCAGTGTGGGGGTACCCCCTGTGCAGGGGCTGGGGAGGCTCCATTAACATCACAACAGCTGATGTCACAGACCCCACAGAGGAGCCGGGGCCCCAAAGGCAGGGTAACCCTAACCCTAGCAGTGATTGAAACAGATAGAGGGGTGGTGCTCCAGCACAATGCCGGGCCCCACCACTCCCCTCCGCCTCCCTGCACTTCCTCGAGAGCCTTTGTCTTCTGGTCTCTTGGGCCTGGAGGCTCTCTCATTCCCAGCAAGCAGTGTCCATTAAATCAAAGCTGAGCCTCTGGGGTAAAGGGTCTGGCACTCTTCTCCTCCCTCCGGTTATCTCCCACTGGCTGTTCCCCATCCTCATCTGCCTGGTGAGCGGGCGGTTCCCCGCAGTGCAGGCACACCACAAGGGTTGCTGGGCCCTCTCTGGACAAGGCCATGGGTGAGACTTTGGAGCAGTCAGTGCTCAGGCTCAGAAGCTGTGGGAAACAGTCTGGGTTCAGTTCAGCTTCGACAGCCCAAGCCTCTAGACTGGACCTTCTTGCTTGCGATTCCCTCAACCAGTTGGAAGTCTCTCTTCTCAGAAGTACAGGGTGCTCGCGTGCCCCTGGGGACCCTAAACTGGTTCAGGGAGATCAAGCTAGGAATGGTGGTTGTACTGGTTTTTAGGTGTGACCCGAGGTTCATGTGGAGGCTCCCGGAAGAGGTGGGAAGCAGAGCTGCAGGTCTTGAAAAATCTCCTGCCAGAACTCTGTGAGGCAGGGAGAGGAGGTGACTGCTCAGCGTCTGGCTCTTCCTTCAGGGAGATCTATACTTCCAAAGGGATCTGGTTATTATTCAAGATTTTAGTCCTGAATCTTCCTTAGACATTGATGAAAGCCATATACCTTCTAGCCAGAAAACTGAGTGGATACAAGCCTGTGTGTATGTACATATATTCCCCCACATACACACTTCAAGGGTTCACAGAATTCTGGTCAAGAACTCCTAAACTTTAGAAGGTGGTATAAGTTTTGGCAGAGGAGGTTCCAAGTGGAATTGAGGGGCAGATCCCACCTGAATGACTGGCTCTACTCTGAGCCAGGTAACTGGCTGTCTGAAGTGATGGCTTCTATCTCAGTGTCTACGCAGGAGTTTGGTGGACCCCAGTGCCATGAAGCCTGTGATGGGCTTGGGGAGGGGAAACTGGGAGGCAGAGATGCTCTGGACAATTCCATATGATGTTGTCACTGCACATTGTGGAACTGGAGGCAAGGGAGGGAAAGGCCTGGAAGAGCTTTTGTGTGTGGCTAGGAAATGGCTAGGCCTTTTGATAATCCATAGCCCAGTTACACTTCACAGCAAGCCTGTACATCAGGCCCGACTATGGTTCTGCTTTCATTGATAAGGATTATGAGATTCAGGGAGTTCACTGTTCAAGGTCATTCAGCTGGTAAGTGGTACAGCAGGAACTGAAGCCCAGGTCTCTCAGGCTTTGATGCCCAGTTGCAGTGGTCAGACTTGTTACTGAAGAAATTCTCTCCAGCCTATTCCCATTCCGTGCCAGCCTGGGGCCAGGAAGGCTGGGTGCTGTGCACAGACATTTCAGGCTTTACTCACCGAGGTTTCAGATACGCCTACCAGATTTGTGCACACACCAGACTTGTGCCAACTTTTCACTCTAATGTGATCTGCACCACATTGAATTTAATTCCTTCAAGGCCCAGCTAATTAACACCCCCATTTCTCTGTGCCCTGGTAGCTCAGCTGGTAAAGAATCTGCCTGCAATGTGGGATACCTGGGTTTGATCCTTGGGTTGGGAAGATCCCCTGGGGAAGGGAAAGGCTACCCACTCCAGTATTCTGGCCTGGAGAATTCCATGGACTGTATAGTCCATGGGGTCGCAAAGAGTTGGACATAACTGACTCACATTCCTCTATGCTGCTTCCCTGATGAGAGCCATTCCCACAGCAGTCTGTGATGCTTGTCCCTCTCCCCACCAAGCTCTAAGACAGGCTCATTTCACTCCTTCTTCTAGATAATCCCTCCTGGCTCCATCTTAACCAGGAGCCTTTCCATGGCAGGGCCAGTGCTCAGAACAGTGAGCCCCAAGTTGCCTAGCCAGGTACTCCTCATAAATCAGGCAATTCAAGGGTTATTCCTCTTGATGACGATGATGCCAGTGTTAATGGTACAGGCAGGAAAGCCTAGGCCAGTGGTTTGGAATGTTTCCAAGGCCACAATTCAATTTCTTGCCTTGTCTCGAAGGCGGCTTTCTCCTCCCCAGCAGGCTTCTGCCTGCTCAGTCCCCAGTGCGGCTGAAGGGGTGCAGTGTCTGTATCCAGATCACCAACCACGCTCCACGGTGTGAAAGGGGTGGGAGAACAAAAGTCATGAGACAACACGGTGGCTTTTGAACAGGTACGTAGGCTCCCTTATTTAATAGTAATTAAAAGAGAACATACAGGAGGAATAGACATGCTCTTTCCACGTAAGAGGTTTTCTACTAACCACGAGGCCCATCTGAATCAGTAGCTTTACTGGTTGAGTTTTAAAGAAAAAAGTTCCCTTTAGAGTTAAAAACGGACTTTCCTAAATTTCCCTCATAAATGTGCAACTATTTGTGCAAAATAAAAAGGCCATTTCCAACACATTAGTGAAAAGTAATCCCAAACTCAGGCAAAGGAAAAAGATAAAAGAGGCAACAAAAGCAGCCAGGTGCAGCATCCTGGAAGAAGTGCGGCTCTGGTGACCGGGCTTCTGCAGCAGACCCTGGGGAGTGTGCTCAGAGGCCTCATGGGCAGAGTCATGGCCAATGCCAATCTTGGGGACAAAGGGCCTGGGTCTGGGACTAGCTGAGCAAGCACTTGTCAAGTGTGCAGTGAAGCTAGGCTGACTTGGAGGCCTGGGAGACAATGCAAATGCTGGGTATTGCTCCCTGGATGCTGTATATTCCCTTGACCAATGGGAACTCTGCTGCTTCCAATTTTCACGTCCTGTTCTTCCCCACCATCAGCAGCGTCATTTAGTCTACTCAGAGATTTTGCCATGTGATACATTAAAACTATTCCAGCTGTCTAAATTACTACTTGCAACCCATTAGGGTCCCCAACCTGACTGTCCCTTCAGGAATATGGATCTGGTTTTCCCAAGAACTCAGCCAACTAGAAGATGGAAAGGCCTCCAAGCACCCAAGTTCTCGACTCTTACTGAGGCCTCTGGGGCGTATCTACATCTCTGGGCACTTGAGGCCAGATCTCAGGATTCTGGGGGACGCAGGCACCCATGCTTTGTACAAGTCCTCTCCAGGGCTGACCTAGCTTGAAGCCTATAGACAAAATTGAAAACTCCGACTTCACCAATTTAAACAGTTTAGACATTGCCAGTCCCTGTTTTTCACCTATCCCTGGTCACCAAGGGTGTGTCTCCACAGACGACTCATAGGTGCATGTTGGTTTTGTTAGGGAAGGCGGGAGGCAGACCAAGAGGAAAGACAGGGTCTAACAAAGGATCTACCCTGTGAGTCTTGGGCTTGAGTAAGTGATTTTCTACAGAGGGACTTCTGTGTGCAAGGGGTAAGGTAACCCTGTTCTTCCACCCTGTTCATTTTCTCTTTGTAGCACTGTTTCTCCAGGGTACAGGTCTGAGACCAGACCAACAATGATAATGCTTGAAAGTGACATACTTAAGGTTCCCTCCATTCCACTTCAAAGTCTCAGCACTCAAAGCAAAAGAGGTCCTGCCATAATTGGGGTCTAGAGAAGGAGGGTGTTTGGGGGCCCTTCTTAAGCAATAGGATTAGAGTGATCATTTCTTGCTCTTTTATAATAAAGTCCAGAATTTGAGAGATGCCATTTTAGGTCTCATTCCCGTGGACCCCTGCCTTCCCTTGGCTATGGAAGTTCTGAGTGGTAGCCTTCATCTCTGAGCCTCATTCTAAGACCCTGGACCAAGCCCTCAGGATGATTAGCCCCAAGAATGAGCCTCAGAAATCTTCTGCAGAGTCCACAAGCAGCCCGGTCTTTCCAGTTTTGAGGAAGTCTGTGTGTGTCTGCGTGCATATTTTCTTCTCCATGGTTTTTAAGTTGTGCCATAATATTTGGCAGGGGGGTGGGGGTGGGGTGAAAAGGAAGCACTGCCTTCCCTAGAAGCAACTCAGTAGCTGACAAAGGTAGTGAAGAATTCTGTTTGATGAGTCTTTCCTCCCACTAATCCTAGCTGGAAAGTCCTGTGTGGCTTATTTGTCATTGTTTGGTGATGCACAATTATACTCTCGCCAGTAGCCTTAATAGTGTCTTCCTGAAGTGTCTTAAAGGGCAGGGTCCGCTGACTGACCTCATAGCAAAGCCTTTGCATTAAGTCACCGGAGCCCATTTGCGACAGAGGACAGAAGGTTCAGGCTCCTCTGCAAACTCCAGAGCTTGAAGGATAGGATTACAGGCAATCTTTCTCAGACAAAGCCAAAAGATAGCTATGGGGACCTCAAAAGGGGACGGAAGCTTTAGGCTTGAGCAGGAGCTTCTTATCCAGGGTATGACTTGGTGAGGGAAGGCCGGGGTGACAAACCATTAGACACGGCTGACCTGCTCTACTTCACGGTGACAGTGGCTCCATCCCGAGGCATCTAGTCCAGCTAAAGCTCTCCCCACAGCACAGAGCTGGTGGCATTTCCTATAGAGATGGTGGCCAGAAAGTTGGTTTTAAAACACAAAGGAACGATTCCAAGTAATCTTCAGGTTTTACCTAAGCGGAAAGCAAAAGGTCATTTTTCAGGCTTCTGCAATCTGACTATCCCAATGACACTGCTGGAGGAGGCCAAGTCTGAGATTCTCTGTCTATGGAATAACTGTGGACCTATGCCCTGAACCAAGCGCCTGACCAGGAAAGAAGGCAGTGAGAGGAATGGGGAAGGGGCTGGGGCTCTAATCCCATTCACACTGGCTTTTAAGACCTCCTCCTGGTGTGGGGGCAACCTACAGCTAGTCATAAGGTCTAGTTAGTCCCACTGCGCACTCAGCTCTTCCATGCCCCAGAAAAATCAGGAGTAAAAGCACTGGGGGCAGATCTAGGCTAAAAGACGCCACCCTTGGGGGGACTGCGGTGAAGCTGTCATCTGGTCACAATGGCATGCTTGTTGTCTGGTCAGGGAAAGTCAGTGGACTGAGGGGAAGAAACCTCTGGAACTCCACAGCTGTGTGTTGGTCTTTTATAGACCAAGTAGTAATGTCTTCCAGGCCCCTTCCTTGCGTCAGGAACAACCAGCCTCACCTATGCAATGAATGGGGAACCTAGGAGCGAACAGGATGTACTTCATTATCCTTCTGCCTACTCACCTTACCTCCCAGTGCCAAGTACCCATTTTGTTTGTTCAGTTTCTGAGCCCCAGACCTAAGCTCTAGAGCCACGGATGAAAGGTGGTTCCTCATGCTGGACTGACGACACCACCGTCTCTAGGAAAATACAGTGCAGCCTGACTTCCCCTGAAGCCCAGCCTAGCAACATCTCATGGACTTGCTTACTCTTGTGCCTCTTCTACTATAGGGAAAGGTTATGCGAATACTGTACATAGGTTATTATAAAAAAATACATTTGTTCTCTTTGAAGAAGAATGCACAAATGCAGGGCCAGCCAGCGCTGGGTCCCGGACTCCGGGGCTGCAGCCAGCAGCCTCTGTGGGCCTGAGGCCCGTCTTCATGAGTGGTGGCTGCTGATGAGTCCCCGGAGTTGCTTGGCCACAGTGTCAATCAATTTCTGCTTGTCTCGCTCATTTTTCCGAAACTGTGCAAACATGTTGTTCTTGCGGCTGGTGTCCTTCATCCTAAACAGAGAGGGGAAGAAAGAGAGCAAAGCGTTCGAGGCGGCAATGGTGGCCACTGTGTCTTAACCACCACCTGGAGTTGAGAGAGTCCAGAACATTTCCACTGTCAGGCCCATACTCACCTACTATTCAGAAAGCTGCCTGCCGGCACCTCCATCCCTCCCAACTCAGTCCCCTCTGGCCAGCCCCCTTGCTCTCCATACTCGCCCTACCTACTTCCCTCCTTCCTATGCCCAGGCATGAGCCTATTACAGGTATCTGGCACCTCCTGCAGCCTTGATGGACAACAGGATCTCAGAGAATGTCTAAGGTCTTCTCATTACCCCCTGAACCTACTAAATCCTGCTGGGACCTTACAGCTGGTATTTGAAAGGGAAAGCAGGACAATGCTCTTAACTAGCAATTTCAAGAGAACACGAGTAACTGAAAGCCACTATGCATTTCTAAACATTACTTTAGCTGGTTATTCTATCCTACTCCTAACAAAACCAAGGGCTTGACTGATCTCTTTTCCTTTGCCTCAGAATAGAGGCCCAGAGACAGTGAGGTGGTTCGGAGGGCACGGTGCTGAGGAAGCAGGTGCCAAAAGGCTGAGCCGTTCTCTCACTTGAAAAACCAGGGCTTTATGCAAGAGAAGCCCCTGAGTTCTCAACGGCTGCTACACCTTCAGATCTTGACCTTTGGAAAGCTTTTTAACTGGCTCCTGCTAAAGCTCCCAAGATGGCATATTCCTAAAGCATAAACCCTGGGCAGTTCTGGCCATCAATTCTGCAGATGGAGAGACCTAACTGGAAAGCATGGATGGAGAAAGGCAAGGCTAGGCAGAGGTTCAGAGGAACCCCAAGCCTGACTTAGCCGTTGTGACAGATCCCAGGAATCTTTCATTCCCCTGAAAGGGGTCTCAGCCCCTGGTATTTGTTGGTGATTGTCAACTTTGGCCCCAGCCTCTGCACACTGGATCTCCAGCCCACAGACAGTTCTAATGGTACAGAAAGGACACTGCCCAGACTCATTTATCCCTGGGGTCAGCCGAGGTGGCTCCTCATGTCCATCCCTCAGGAGCTCAGCCAGCTCTCTGACCTCACAGCTCCCTGCCCTGCATGGAGATGGGTGAGGAGAGGGGATGGAAGGAACCTGGCACCAAGGAGTAAACTACTCCCAGGAAGACTTCCCAGGGGCCTTTGGCTAATCCTGGACCACTTTTTCCTTCTGGGAGGCCCCGTGCAGAGGGATGGACTAGAGAGGCCAGTAGGTCAGAAGGTCAGGGAGTCCGTAAGGACATTTATATCCATATGGTAGGGAGGTTCTGATGAGCATCCCAGCTTTATGGCTCTGGCTGATGGTGACAGCCACAAGCCAATTGAGACTACTCTCTCTGATCTAAGCTTTAGGGCCTTGAGCCTGGAATTACTCATCAAGCACACTTAGAGACGGCATATAAGGTACAACCACCCACATGTGGAGGTCCGTGCTTGAAAGGAAGGAAGAAGGAGAGATGACAGAGGTTTAGAGGTTTAGGTTGAAAAGAAAGCACAAAGGACCTCCAGGCTATCATGATTACTGTATCTGGTCCCTCAGACAGTAACTGCACCATGATGTTTGTGGAACTGGCTTGACTTAGGATTATTTATCCCAGACAGCAACTCCTCTGCTGGATATACTATAAATCTAAATAAAACCAACACTAAACAAAACAAAAATAATAATAAAGGAAGAAAAGCACTTCTGACCTTTATAGGGCACTTAATTTAACATCCTATGTGATCATTAGTTTCATGACTCCTCAAAGCAGCCCAAAGACAGAGATGGCTTTCAACTCCCTTAGGGGAGGTCCAGAAATAAGGTTGGAGGGAACAGGAGAAGAGGGTAGTCTCTGGGCCCCAGAGGCCAGGATTTCTTAGCCATTGAGGCTGGCAGTGGGGATTACTTGAAGGAGAAACTCGGGTGCCCTGAGGGCTGATGGTGGCATGCTGGCTTGTACCTGGCAATGGTCTGAGACCAAAGGAGAGCCTCCACCCCATCACACTCTGTGCGCCCAGGATCTGGCTCTGCTTTGGCCCCGGACACCTCTCAAAGATGCAGGGGCCTCTTCTCTTTCCTGAAAGTCCTCAGGTCTTTGTATCTTTCCACATCTCATCCTGCTAAGAAGTGTCAGGTTGGTGTTGTATGAAAGGAGAGAAAGTTAGCACTCCCCTTGACAAGGATGGAAGAGGCTCTCAGGCCTGACAACACGCATACGGTTAAGGCATTGCCACCTACTTCATGGCATCTAACCACGGTTTTTTTAATGAGATGGATAAAACTGGAGTCCATTATACAGAGTGAAATAAGCCAGAAAGATAAACACCAATACAGTATACTAACGCATATATATGGAATTTAAAAAGATGGTAACGATAACCCTATATGCAAAACAGAAAAAAAGAAACAGATGTACAGAACAGACTTTTAGACTCTGTGGGAGAAGGCGAGGGTGGGATGTTCTGAGAGAACAGCACTGAAACAAGTATTATCAAGGGTGAAACAGACCACCAGCCCAGGTTGGATGCGTGAGACAAGTGCTTGGGCCTGGTGCACTGGGAAGACCCAGAAGGATCGGGTAGAGAGGGAGGCAGGAGGGGGGATCAGGATGGGGAACACATGTAAATCCATGGCTGATTCATGTCAATGTATGGCAAAAACCACTACAATACTGTAAAGTAATTAGCCTCCAACTAATAAAAATAAATGGAAAAAAAAAAAAAAAAAGAAGTGTCAGGTTGTAAAGGAGAGAGTATTGAGCTCTGGAGGTAGAGCTGTGGGGAAAGCAGGAGAGGGTCAAGTTGAGAGACTGATTCCTATGAGGCTGGGAAATGTGGATTTCAGTGATCTGGGTGGCCTCTGGCCCTACTGTGTTTGGAAGGGAGCTTTTAAATCCTGCTGATCACCTGGGGTAAGTACATGGCATTATCACTGGCTAGGCCTCAAGAATGCTACTGAGAGGCTGATTATTTCTGCCTGTTGTTGAGCCACAGGAAGTAGATAAGCCAGTACTTGCTGGATCCAGAGATTCTCAGGAACAGAGGAGTAAGAACTGTTGAGAGAGGCACCTGGCCGAAAGGAATCCCAGAGCCCATCTGAGCACATAATGAACAGGACTCCCGAGCAGCAACGCAAAAGCCACAGGGTGCTGAGAACGTGGGTGAGGCCTTGCCTCTAAGAAAGAGTCTTCTATGGGACATCTTGAAGCCCGGGCCTCACCACTGGGACAGCGGGAAGACTGCTGAGGAAGCTCCCTTGTGTCAGAGCTGGATTTCAGGCCCTGGACTAGCAAGAATATTGAGTGTGCCAGGAAGGTGGGCGGGAGCAACCTTTTACCTGGCACTGATGGGGGAAAATCCCTGTCACCACTCCCAGCCCCAAAGGAACTGGTAAGCCAAGGGTCACTTGAAGGACCAAGGAGAGAGGAGGCAGCCAGCCAGCTGGCACCAGGCTGGTTTAGCAGATTAGTATGTCAGGGTGGGGACAACTCACGGGGTAGGGATTTTAGTGTAGTCATTAGTGTCAATGAGGAAACCAGAAGGACTTGCCTCAAAGTAGTGGAAACGGCCCAAGTGAATAATATACTTACTCTCTAGATATCCTAGGGAAGAAGGTCATTGGGAGAGAGAATCATGGGAAACAGAGTTAAAATGGAAACATGAGTCTCTGTCTTGATCTGGAAAAAGTCAATTCTGGGCTCTTAGTGACTTGGCTCCAAACACACACCTCTGCCTCCTGCTCTACCTCTCCTCCTCCTCTCCTCCACGATAGCCTTCAGCAGGAAGGCGCCCCTCAGCCTCTCCTTCTGCCTAAGGCTTCACTCTGGCCTCCTGGACTCTGACCCTTGCCTTCTTAGGGTTTGAGACCTGCCTGACTGGCTATATATAAACACTACACTGTCTAGATGCAGGGCACTCTTCTAAGAAGCTTCTAAGAAGCTAAGAGTTTTATCTAGTTTGATGACAAGGGAAAACTTCCTTTTTACATGGGTCTTTGTCTCTGGTCTGCCAGCTCTCAACTAGGTAAGCTAAAGCCAGGGCCAGGTTACAACGCAGTGCAGATGCCAGCATCTGGGTGACACATCGGTTAGGGAGATGTTCTGGAGCTGGCCAACTCAATCTCAGCAGCAGCAACTCTGCTTCAGAGATGCAAGAGTCCTACGGCAACCACTTCTGCTGGCTAGTGACTACTGAAGGCAAGAGTCAGACACTTCCAATGCAGCTTTCTTGGGCTACTCAGCATAAGAAAGCTCAATCTGACAGAGGCAAGGGTTGGTGGGGCAGCTGAAATAATTTCAGGAGCTTCTTTGCCAGGAACCAGAGAAGCCATCTGTTCTGTGGGGATGCTCTCCATCCATCATCACACCCCAGAATACTGGGGCTGGCTCATTGTTCACCAGGCTGATCTGAGCCCCAAGCTAAGGCATCTTTCTTTCTCCTCCTGTCATCTCTAGGTAAGCTCTGAGGTAATGTCACAGTTCCCCTGACCCACACTTTCCTTAGCTTGCTGGGGCTCAGGGATTAAGAGGCTCCAAAAGGAAGACTGAACTGCCAAATCCAGTGATGGAAACTGCTGACAGTACCTGTGGCGGCTTTAAGAGTGGGGCCTCTTTGCCATCTTTTCAAGGTAGGGGCAAAGAGAAAATTATCCTCTGTATCAATCTCCCCTCCCCAAGACCCCACCCCTCAAAACAGACCACGGGATGGGTACTCACTTCTCAAGCAGGGTCAGAGCTGTCACAGGGTTTACCCGGAGGTACTTGCAGGTGGGCTGACCATAGTCCGCAAGGTAGGTTGACCAATCCCACTGGATGAAGAGATCCAAGAGCTGTAAAATATCCAAACCCCCACTCCAGTAATTAATCAGACAGATAAGACAAATCAGGATCTCAAAAACTCCTAGCACCCTTCACTACCCACTAGATTTGAAAAATAAAATTAAAATTGTAATATGAGAGAGTATGATTCTTCCCTGATAGCTCAGATGGTAAAGAAACCACCTGCAGTGCAGGAGACCTGGGTTTGATCCCTGGGTTGGGAAGAGCATCTGGTGAAGGGAATGGTTACCCACTCCAGTGTTCTTGCCTGCAGAACTCCATGGACAGAGGAGCCTGACGGGCTATAGTCCATGGGGTTGCAAAGAGTTGGACATGACTGAGTGACTAACACACACACAACAGAAAAATGGCTATAGTAACAAAACTAAGAAAATAAACAGGTAATCACTGCAAGGTAGAGTCATCTCTGCCGGAAGCACTGCATTGCTGATGCTGGCTCTGAGAGCTCTCAGAGGCGGGCCTGGAAAGAAACTGGCCCTGGGCTGAATCACAACACCAGGCTATCATAATAATCGCTCATTCACTTAATAAATACTTACAACATGTCTTCCATGTGCCAAGCACCATTCTAGGAGCTCAGAATTCAGCCATGAACAAATAAAGGTGGGTGTGTCCAGTGACCCATATGCAACTATATGAGCTTTCAGGTTGAAAGGTCTGGGTTCAAGTATGAATTTCATGACTTGCTGTGTTGACTTTGCTAAGTTACTCAGTTGATACAGACACATGCCAAAAACGAACAGGATATGCAGACAGCACAGAAACACGCTGAACCAAGACATAAATGGACCATATAATATTTACATGAAGGCAATATACAACACCTGTGAGGACACTGGTTGAACAGATAGAAATCTGCTAACTAAATACATTTTGTCAAAGGCTTTCCTTATCAGTCAGCTTTAGCCTCAGGTATCAGTCTAACAAATATTTAAAACTCATAACTAAATAAAGCTAAAAAAGAAAAAAATCAGTGTCTTTCAAAGGTGGGGTAGGGGTGATGAAAGGGAAGCTGTTTGCTCCCCTGTATAAACTTCTAGGGGGGTCACTGCCCCAGACTCACATCATGACATAGAAGAAGGGCCTCAAACAGTCTTTCTAGCAATGAGATACATATAAGTACTTCTGGACTCAGGGCATTTCCCTACTTCTCCTTTTCCAAGAGATAACAGTTGATGAAGATAAGTAGATGACAATCTCTCTGTGCAGAACTAATGCAGAGAAGCCAAGAGTCAAATTCAACGCCAGAGTCTGGGTTCTTAGGCATACCTTCCTCCTCTGTCTTCCTCACTGGGGAGCTGGGCAAACAGGCAGTGTGGGCCTTGCTCTGTTGGCCGTCCCCTCTGCTATCCATTCTCTTAGAATAGATGTTAAGAACTTCCTCAGGATGGAAATTGGCTGAAGTCCCAAAACTAAAACAGAGAAAAGCCCCTACACCCTCAGCCAACAAAGGGATACTAAATATGAGAGGAGACGGGGAGAGAGACAGACATGTTGGTTGGCCTGGGTCAGCAAGGCCCCAATGGCCCTCTCAGGCCTCTTTTAGGTCATGCTTATTTTAGTTGGCAAGTAAAAGGGCTTCTACCACTTCCTTTCACTGCCCCAAGGCTTTACAGAGCTCTCTTTTAGAAGAAAAATTTCCCTGACTTCCTATCCTAATCTTGGTATTTCCAGCCCAAAGACCCCTAGAGACAGTTCCTCCTAGGGAACGTGATAGGCACTTGGAGTGTCCCTTGTTTTAAAGGTCTTCTACAAGTAAAATTGTGCTTTTCCCTCAAACCCCAAGGAAAGAAACTATGGAAAAAGATAGCATTTTCTTAATTAGTTTTTTTTCTCTTAGAAAATTAAACAAAAAATGTTGGGAGCTTTTTGCTGTTTGCATGCTAGAGACCTAGCAAAAGAAACATGAAAGAATAACAAATAAGTTTAATTGGAAAAATTTGAAAACCTGATTTCTTAAAGCTATTTTAGGTATTATTTCTCAGATGTGGACACACACACACACACACACATATATATATATATATATATATATATACATTTAGTAAAACTAATTTCATTTTGTTCTCTATTAACAGAATCCTAATTTCAGTGATGGAATTGATGGTATCAGCATTTTCTGATTTACTGCAAAGAACACCATGTCTTTCTGGATGATAAAACCTGGGTAAATCACCAATAGGGTGTAGAGGGCAGTTCATAACTTAGTTTCAAGGTTTCCTATTTTTAAATTCTTGCCAAAGTCTCTCAATGCCAGTACTGAGCCTACAACCTCTGGGATGACAAGCTAGCTAGTTTATCCCTCGCTTGGCCTGGAAGCCAAACAACTCTATTAAGCTCAACCAGCATAAGCCTACAGCTGACACTCTGGGTCTATGCTGCTTTCCAGTCCTTTTCAGTGGCCTGTACCTAGATCTGGTGGTCTCCTCTGAGACAGATGGACATAAACTAGAGTCTGGGTAAGATTTAGCTAAGTCAACCTGCTCTGGGGTGCAGCTCTACTGGATTCCTTAGATCAGAGTTAGAATAAGAGAGCAAGAAAATCAGTAGGCCTCTTTATCATGGCACTTTGATCTCCAGACTATGATATTCCGAGGTAAATTAGGCCTCTCAGCCTAGTTCGCTGCATGCAATTGCCTTGTAAGATCTCAATAAAGTCTCTCCCAGGATGAACATTCTGTCATCATTGAACGTGTGTCATCATGATCACATTTTAATTTTTTATTTCTAAAAGTTTTCATTTTGGAAATAATTTCAATTATCAGAAAGTTCTAAGAATGGGCATAGTATAAGGAGCACTATATACCCTCCTCTCAGATCCACGCATCATCAATATTTTACCCATCATGCTCCATCATTTGTGTTCTTTCTTTTTTTGCATGTATATAGTATTTCTTCTTGGAGTCTCTTGAGAGTAATTACACATATCATGGCCCTTTATCCCCAAATACGTCAACATTCCTAAGAATTAGGGCTATTCTCAAACATAATCACAGTATGGCTTTTAACTTTAATAAATTTAATTTTGATACAGTTCATACTCTAATTTTATAAATTGACCCAATAATGTCCTGTATAGCTTCTTTGTTTGTTCAGGATCATGTATTACATTTAGCTAGCTATTGAGTCTCCTTTAATCTGTGCTATTTCCACAGCCTTTCTTATATGATATTGACATTTTTGAATAATATCAACTCTTCAAAAGTTCCCTGCCTCCTTTTTCATCCTAAGTTTTGACTTTCCTAGTGCTTTCTCATCATAAGATATAAGATACGCCTATCTGGCCAGAATCCTACATGTGATGCTGTGTCCCCCTCAGGGCATCACATCTGGATGTGCACAATGTTCACACGTCTCTCAACAGTGACATTAAGTTTGTTCATCCAGTCAAGATAAGCTGTTGTCTGATTTCTCCACTGTCCAGATATTATTTTTTCTTTTGTAACTAGGAAGCAATTTAGGAGATCGTGTGAACATACTGTTCCTGATTAAAATTTTCTGTTAGATTTAGCATCTATTGAAGATGCTTCTCCAATTTAGTCTTCACTACGATGGTTTCAAACTGATTCCATCCTTCCCTCCAAGTTTATCAGCTGTCACTCAGCATTTGACCATAAGCAAGTGCTCACTTCTGCTCCACTATTAATTCATCTATTTTATTACTGGTATGGATTCATGGGTTTCCACTGTTTAATAGTTTATATTCATTACTATACCTAATTACTTTGGTGCTCAAGTTGTCCCAGATTTAGCAGTGGGAGATCCTTCAAGCTAGAGCCTGTGCCCTTGTCGCACGTCCCCATGATTTTTTTCAGGACTTCCTTACTTTCTGGCATATTAAGGTGGTGCAGGTTCATCCTGTATCTACCATGCTCAGTTCTGAAATCAGCCCTGGTTTCTTTTAGTGGGAATGTTATTAGAGATCAAGATTTGGGTGCTAAGTGAGCTCATTGCTACTACGGGACAATCTATGGGGTATTAAGCCCTCTGAGGAGACACAGCTAGGAAATATATACATATAAATATATCCACAGATACACATACATATGTGTGTACATATGTACACATATTTTAGATATCATGAGTTTACACCAATACCTCCAATTCTAGTCATTCTCAGAGAGTTCTTTCTTGCTTTTCTCTACGTCACATGTCCACAGTTAAGAATTATCAACATCATCTCATCTACTAATTTGCTCAATAATATATCTAAAATTGGTTCAGAATTGTTTGTATAAGCCACTGCAAAATAAACCTACTAAAAAATAAGGTCAAGATTTGTTTGAAGTTCTCCCTCCAACCTGAGTGGGTACAATCAAAATCTATGTTCATAAGCCACTTGGGTTAGTCTTTTTTAAAATTCTCCCTTCAGTTTGGTTATGGTATTCATCTAAATAAAACCGGGTTCATTTGTTTCCATTTAGGCTCCTCCCTCCCATCCTTTGTAATTTATTTTTTTTACACATGTAGGACACTAATATGCTTCCAAAAGTCAAACTATACAAAAACGTTAACTCAGAAGAAGTGTCAGTCTTTCCTTCTTGTATCCCTTTTACCCCAATATCTACCATGCCTTATAGGTGCCCAACTCCATTGTTTGTGAATTTGCCCTTACTATGCTTCTATTTGTAAAGACAAACAGATACACATTTTATTCCTTATTTCCTCTTCTTTCTTCCACAGAAAGTAGAATACTATATATGCACTTTAAGATAATTTATTTCTTCACATTTACAAGCAGGCAGGGGATGGAGAAGAAGAAAAATGAGAAGTGTCAAAAGCAGGAGACTGAACTACTCTTCAAACTTTACTGAGTATCAATTTGTAATTTTTACCACATTCTCATGCTACAAGTGTAATTATTAATTTAACATTTTTGCATTGATTCACATTTTGGTATTAAAAAATTTAAAAGAACACTTTACACCACTATCATAAATGGGAAGCCATTCTAACTTGTCATAAATAGAAGATAACTCAAACATCAGTG